TCAGATTAAAAGACCGCACAGCATTGAGTTCTTACCAGCTTTTCCTTTGATGCAGTTGATCTACCCTTCCAAGATTATGTGGATCATTTGCTGGAACCTCAGGATCTGGCTTCCCTAGGAAGTGGTGAGTAGGACGTAACTACGCCTCGACATTCTCAGATCTCCATGCTTCCTTGATCCATGGCAACCCAAACTCAGCCTGGATTCCACAGACCAGAATCAGTGGATGTCAGCTCTTCAGGGGTGAGGAGAGATAGTCCTCAGCTTACAACAGCTCATTTAGTGACCGTTCAAAGTTACAACGGCACTGGAAAAAGTGACTTACGGCCATTTTTCATATTTACGACCGTTGTAGCATCCCCGTGATCATGTTGTCAGGGCTCCAACAGATCCACCCTCATTCAAATCATAAGTCTCTAGCCGCATCTCTCAGAGGTGAAAAAAAATGATTTATTAGGAATGACCATGTCAGCATTACGTGGCTGCAGCTGACACTAAGATACATCATTCATTTCCCCCTTGATTCTGGTCTTCCCCCCACCCTCCCTGGATGTATATTCTCCAATGGGACACATCCATAGCCAAGAGTCATCAATCATCCTCTCCAGTAATAATCTTGCGCGTCAACAGCTTCAGCTGCCTAGCATTTATCTGAAGCATTTGAGGAATGCACTGCTTTCCCCCCACTCTCTTTCTGCTGGCAACTCAAAAGACCAAAGAAGTATTTTTTAGTTGACACATATGATTAAAATTCAGACGCTTGGCAACTGGTTCACATTTATGACGGTTGCAAGTGTCCCGGAATAACATGATCCCCTTTTGCAACCTTCTGACAAGCAAAGTCAACGGGGAAGACAGGTTCACTCAACAACCACGATACTAAGAACTGCAATGATTCACTTAACAATGGCAAGAAAAGTTGTAAAAGGGGGCAAAAATTCACTTCACAAAGATCTCACTTAGCAACAGAACTTTTGGAACTCCATTGTGATCGTAATTCGAGGACTACGTGTAGTCTAGCCCCGAATACCAAAATTATGACTATGACAACTACTTTTTAGGATAGGATTACAGTGACAGATCTTCCAACTCTGAATGCATTTTCCCCTTCCTTTCCTTTAATTTCAGAAGAACAAGAGTCAATTTTGTATAGTGGTTAAGGTGCTGGCTTGGAAACTAGGAGACCATGAGTTGTAGTCCTGCTTCGGGCGTGAAAGCCTGCTGGGTGACTTCGGGTCGATCACTCTTTCTTAGCCCAACCCACCTCACAGGGTTGTTGTTGTGGGGGGTGGGAAACAGGCAGAGGAAGAAGTTGTAGGTTTGAGTTACTTATAAAGTAATAAAGATGGGATAGAAATCTATATCTGAGACGCTTTCTCAAAGTACATTTCTAGTCCGGACTCAGATTTCCCTTATCTTTGTTTTGATTGCAGTTGTTTTCTTTACGGATAAAGTATCTCCCTTGCAAATGATCTTCTCTCCCACATTTCCTTTTTTTCCCCTTGAAGATAACTGAGACAAGAAAGGTTGCAGTTGCAAACCAGTTTAGTCCCTGGTTTTGGCCTCCAGCACTCAAGAAAAGCAAAGGATCTGTTGGGACAAACTACTAACTTCTCTTTTTCCCCCCCCCTTCTTTCCTGCAGAAACCCTCTACTTCTTTGGAGACAATAATTTCACTGAATGGGGGTCCCTCTTCAAGAAATACAACCCACCACCTTTCAGGATTCCAGGCACCACGGGAGCATACAGTTTTGGGATTGGGGGTCAGTAGCTGGTGATCTTCAGGAGATGTTTTAACACCTTCATAGGGCACCTTCAACCAACAATGTTGGTTTTGTAGCTTGGTCTTCTTTCTAGGACCATGTATAGCAAGAGCACTAAGACATATATACCGCTTCACAGTGCTTTACAGCCCTCTCTAAGCTATTTACCCCCAACAATTGCCCTCCACAATTTGGCTCCTTCTTAGAGCCAAATCTGTATGCCTCCTTAGTTCCAAAGATACAAGACTATCACCGAAAAGGATCGTGTGTGGATTCCCTGCCAAAAAACTAAAAATAGGGTCATTGGGTGTTCATTTGGGTCACATGAAGTCTATCTTCATCCAGAGCCAATCAGGTGCTATCTAGAGGCGGAGACGCCTCCTCCCTTTCTGCCTTTGCTCATATTCAGTGCAGGAAATCAGAGGTCCAGAGAATTCAAAAGACTAAACTGTAGGTTTATGGTACGTTAAAGCTCTGTACAAGAATCTGAACTACTAACAGTCAAAGCGAGTTGGTGGTATGATAGCTAAGAACAGAATTCAAGATGGTCTGGACTCAGATCTCTTGTGGGCACCAGGGGACTCGAGACTGATGACACATTTGATTCCTCCATCGGGCTCAGCCAGGTCATCTACACCAGTGGCCCCCAACCTTTTTTGAACCAGGGACCGGTTTCACGATTATTTCTTCTTCCACGGACCGGTACCTGAGTGACGCGAGGCTCCACCGCCATCGGGACGGCTCTTTGTTTGAAGCCGCCCCCCCCTCTTCGACGAAACTAAGGCGCGAGCACCCAAACGCCGCTTTCCAACCGAAAACCCGGAAGCAACCAAAAACCCGGAAGCGCCGTCGAAACAAGATGGCGGCGGCCAAGCTTTGCGGCCCGGTAAAAAATGATCCACGGACCGGTACCGGTCCAGGGACCGGTGGTTGGGGACCCCTGATCTACACCTCCCTTGCAACTGGTCTTGAGAGTCATAATATCTCCAATATGTATCACCTGTCCTGCTGGAGCTGCATTGGTTGCCGATTTGTTTCCGGGTGCAATTCAAGGTGCTGGTTGTCACCTTTAAAGTCCTTCATGGCTTGGGACCGGGTTATCTGAGGGACCGTTTCTTGCCGGTCACATCTACCTGACCCATTAGAGTGGGGAGGAAGGGAATGTTGCGGGTCCCATCCCAGAGAGAGATAACACCTGGTGGGACCCAGATGAAGGGCCTTCTCCACGATGGCTCCCTCTCTCTGGAACATCATCCCCCCCAGAGATTAGAATGGCCCCCGCTCTAATTCTCTTCTGCAAGATGCCGAAGACCTGGTTCTGCCAGCGGGCCTGGGGAACCCAGAGCGGGATGGAGCCCATCAGGTGGCTAGTGTGAACTGCTGTCACTGGGAGGGGTGGGAGTGATTTCATTATATTAATTTAGTTGATTCTTCTTTACTAGTTTTACTGTTTTAAATGTGGTTTGATACCTTGTAAGCCGCCTCGAGTAGCCATGGGCAAATAAGCAGCAAATATAAATCCAATAAATAAATAAATAAAAAACATAGAAGAAACAAACTAAGAGTCCTCAAGGGGGCCAGCCTTCTATGAATTCAGTCACCCGTGCTGGTATATGTCATGTGGCAATTTCACAAGGTCACAGAGGTCCATGGTGCTGATGGGACAGCTGTCAGGGCTCTGGCAGTTACCCCCCATTTAAATCATGAGTCTCGAGCCAAACTTCCAAAACTTAAAAGATTTATTAGGAGTAAGCATGCCGGCACTGCCTGGGTGTAGCCGACTCTGAGACACGTCATTCATTGTCACCCTTGACCCTGGTTTTCCCCCACCCCCTAAGTGTATCGTAATTCATATTCTCCAATGGGACACATCCATAGCCCAGAGCCATCAACCATGCTCTCCAGTTAGATATTTGCATGGCAGAAACTTCAGTCACCTAGTTACTATCTTTGATAACATTGATGGAATGCAGTTTCAGATTTGCAAGCTGCCGCACTGCTCCCCCCTCCCTTTCTGTTGGCTACTCTAAAAAGACCATAGAAATATTTTATGAGTTGACATCAGCTCTGTCCAGCAGGTCTAATATATTGGATTCGGGTAGGTTCCTATGAAGAACCAGATTCCACATTTCGAGGTCATGTGCCAGTGACCTTTTGGTCTGAGCCCAGGATCCACCAAGATCTTCCATATCGTGGTGCTTTCTGAAGCCTCCTTCTGTCTTAGTTGAGAATTCTGGACTCTGCTCCAGGTCATTGGTATAAGGAGCAATGCAATTCCCGGGCTGGATTTAATTCCTCCTCCTTTTTCTCTCTTTTCCAATCCCTTTCAGGCTCTGGTTCCGGAGTGCCATTTCATTGGCACGGGCCTGGCTTTTCAGAGGTCATCTTTGGGAGGAAGGTGAGTGCCCCAACAAGGCGTTGCCCCACAAATTTAGATACCCATGTGTTATAGGATGTGAGAATGACCTTGGGAGGCAGGAGGAAGATGCTGCAGCCTAGACAGCTACAGTTGATCAGAGAAATCCCAGCCCATGGAAGGAACGGGAGTGGAGAAAGCACCTCAGAAGAAAGAAACAGAATAACAGAGTTGGAAGGGACCTTGAAGGTCTTCTAGTCCAATCCCCTTCAAGCAGGAGGCCCTATACCAGAAGAGAAGAATCCTAATTCTCATGGCTGGGGAATTCTGGGAGTTAAAGTCTACCCCTCTCAAAGCTGCTTAGCTTAAGAAACATGTCCAATCCCAGGGGTATTCAAACCTGATAGGTTGAAGACTTGTGGACTTCAACTCCCAGAATTCCTCCTCCAGTCATGTTAGCTCAGGAATTCTGGGAATTGAAGTCCACAAGTCTCAAAACTTGCCCAAGTTTGAAGAACCTTGCCCTATACTATACTAAATTTCAAAATGACTTGAAAAATTTAGCACTGGGGGACAGAGAGAAGCTAGATTTCTGAGTGATTGGAGGAAGATGATGGTGGCAGTGAGAATCCTTTGATTTGTATCATGGGTATTTCAAGGGTTTGATTCATCTCGATGCCGCCATATTGGAATAGATGTACTGAGAAATATCATGCAGAGGTATAAAGCTTGCTCCTTACCGCTTGAAATCTGTCTCCCCCAGCACTGGTTCCTGTATCCTCCAGAGAAAACACCAGCATTCCACCCCAACAGGACGACGCTGTCCTGGTTCCTGGATACGTACCCTTCCTTGCCGCCCTGGGAAAAGCCGCTGGAGTGCACCATCCATCCAGGGGAGGCAGGTTGCTATAGGGATGTGCACAAGCCAGAGGTGGTATTCAGCCAGTTCGGACCCGTTCGAATGAAACAGCAAAAATTTTGACTGGTTCAGAGAACCGGCAAATACCACCTCTGGCTTGTGCACAAATAGGGATGAAGGAAAAATAAAGGAAGGGAAGAAGGAAAGGAGGAGGGAGGGAGGGAGGGAGGGAGGGAGGGAGGGAGGGAGGGAGGGAGGGAGGAAGGAAGGAAGGAAGGAAGGAAAGAAAGAAAGAAAGAAAGAAAGAAAGAAAGAGAAAGAAAGAAAGAAAGGAAGAAAGAAAGAAAGAAAGAAAGAAAGAAAAATGGGAGAGAGGAAGGAAGGAAAAATGGAGTATAAGGAAGGGAAGAAGGAAGGAAAAAATAGGAGGGATGAAGGAAAAATAAAGGGAAGAAGGAAAGGGAGGGAGGAAAGAAAGGAAGGAAAAAATGGGAGGGATGGAGGAAAAATGGAGTATAATGAAGGGAAGAAGGAAGGGAAAAATAGGAGGGATGAAGGAAAAATAAAGGGAAGAAGGAGGGAAGGAATGGGAGGGAGGCAGGAAGGAATGAAGAATAGAGTATAAAGAAGGTAAGAAGGAAGGAGGGGGAAGGGTAGGAAGGAAGGGTAGGAAGGAAAGAGGAAGGAAGGGAGGGAGGGAGGGAGGGAGGGAGGAAGGAAGGAAGGAAGGAAGGAAAGAAAGAAAAAATGGGAGAGGAAGGAAGGAAAAATGGAGTATAAGGAAGGGAAGAAGGAAGGAAAAAATAGGAGGGATGAAGGAAAAATAAAGGGAAGAGGGAAAGGTAGGGAGGGAAGAAAGGAAGGAAAAAATGGGAGGGAATGAGGGAGGGAGGAAGGAAGGAAAAATGGAGTATAATGAAGGGAAGAAGGAAAAAAAATAGGAGGGATGAAGGAAAAATAAAGGGAAGAAGGAGGGAAGGAATGGGAGGGAGGCAGGAAGGAATGAAGAATAGAGTATAAAGAAGATAAGAAGGAAGGAGGGGGAAGGGAAGGAAGGAAGGGTAGGAAGGAAGGAGGGAGGGAGGGAGGGAGGGAGGATCTTCTACAAAGCCATGGCATCTGGAGTCATTCTCTCTTTCCTTCCAGGTTCTGTACTTTCCGGACCACTGGTGGCATGCCACCCTCAACCTGGACACCAGCGTTTTCATCTCCACCTTCCTGGGTTAGCAGCTCCAAGTGACACCTCCCGTATGACACCATTCCTCGTGCAAAGAAACTGGATTTCTTGGCCATTTCAAACTCGAAAATTGTCCCAGTCTCCCCGTAAGGCGATCAGCACAATCGTTCACTTGGGCCCAGTGCTTTGGGGCTGGAGACTATAACTTCCATCACCCGTAAATATCTCGGTTGGTTTGCTCCAATGGCATTGATGAAATTCAACAGCCAGAAGACCTCATGAAGTTGGTGACCATCGGTAATGGTGGACTATAGTAACACCATCTCTAGGGTCAGTGGGACCATACCTGGTCCATCTCAGGGATCTCATCCTAAAACCTTTCAGCCAGCATCTAAGGACCAACTGCTCCCCCCAATATTTTTTTAGAAATGGGGCAGGATAAGATTGATGCTTGTTAAATTGTACTTTGCTACTCAGCATCCTTCTACCTGGACATGCATTTGCCACACTGTGGAAGAAGGTGAAACGGGGTGGGTGGGTGTGTGTCTTCCTTCATCAATTACAGCTAGTCCTCGACTTGTGACCCCAACCGAGCCCAAAATTTACACTGCTAAGCGAGGCATTGGTGAAGAGAGCTTTGGCCCATTTTACCACCTGGGTTTTGCCGCGGTTGTGGAGCGAATCCCTTTAGTTATTAAGTTAGCCACACATTTGTGAAGTCCATCTGGCTTTCCCCATGGACGCTGCCTTCAGAAGGTCACAAAAACGGGTCACGTGACCTAGGGACTCTGCAACAGTCATAAATATGAGTCAGTTGCCAAACGGCTAAATTTTGACCACGCGACCCTGGGGAGGCTGCAATGATCATAAATGTGAAAAATGGCCATAACTCATTTTTCAATGCCGTAACCTTGGTCACTAAACGAATAGCTGTTAAGTCGAGGACTATCTGTATGGTGCTTGGTCTCTCTCTCTCTTTCTCTAATCCTCTTTCTTTCTCTGTATCTCTATCCCTTTCTTTCTCTGTCTCTTTCTGACTATATCTTTCTCTCTTTCTCTTTTTTTCTTTTTCTTTCTTTCTCTCTCTGCACACAGAGGTGCTTCCTGATGAAGACCATTATTGCTTCTCTTGCGACTCATCCAGCTCTTCCAACTCCCCAGGGGATATTTACACCACCAGGTGACTCAAAATAATTTAGGCTGCTCAAAATTACAGCCTTGCAAAGCAGGTAGGAAATCTCATGACTTGTATGCGGGGTTGGTCAGCAACCGGAGGACGAAAACACCTGGTTTCACCTGGAAGCAACCTGTTTGTGCATCCTCCCCCACCTTTTCTGGCAGGACATACTTACATTCCTTTCTTTTTCTCTTTCAAAACGGTTTTACTGCCAACTGGATGTATAGAAACGCAACCAGCAGAATCTGGTTCTGTTTCTATTAGATTTATACTCCTGGTTGATGTCGAATACCAGAGCAGATGTTAGCATAAACGTTTTATTTTAAAAACACAATGTGTATTTCAGTCAAGAGTTCCATTTCGTTCTGGCTTTTCCTGTGGGGATTTTGCTGATTTATTTATATCTCACCTGCATTTCTTTTTATAAGCAACTCAAGATGGCAGGCATACTTTAATACTCCTCCTTCCTCCTGTTTTCTCCACAAACAAAAACCACAGGAGACAGGTTGGACTGAGAGTGACTGACTGGCCCAAGATCCCCCAACTGGCTTTCATGACTAAAATGGGACTAGAACTCACCGACTCCTGGTGATTGGCGCCAAGTCACCCAGTTAGTTTTCATGTCTAAGGAGGGACTAGAACTCACTGACTCCTGGTGATTGGCTCAAAGGCACCCAGCCAGCTTTTGTGCCTACAGGGAGATTAAAACTCCTAGTGATTGGCTCAGTCACCTAGCTGGCTTTTCATGCCTAACACAGGACTAGAAATCACTTGTCTCCCAGTTTCTAATGGCCTTAACCATTACATCAAATTAGCTCTTTAGATTTCGTGCTTTGATGTAAGCAACTTGATGTGCAGTTCCCAAACACTACTTGCAAGGGCAACTGTTAGCAGATGATGATTCAGGTTCCAGAGGTTCACTGCAGATACCCAAGACCCTACATTAGAAAAGCTGTCATTGTTGTGATGAAAACATTGGTCTTGAAGGCTTCAAAGCTTGGTCAGATTTCCTTCCAAAGGCCAAGCCAATGTAGTCCACTTGCCTTTTTCCTCCTCCGTTATCAACCTTGAGGGCCATCTACAAAAGAACCAGCTTCTGAATGATGGTCCTCCAGAGGTGGCCAAACTAACCCCTCATCTGCTCTTTTGAGCTTGTTTTGGGTTTCTGGAAGAGGTGGTGGACCTCCATCTGCCTCCACCAGCTTCTGAGCATTATCTAGAATGGAGCCGACAGCTAATGTAGGACCATTACTGGTGAAAACCATCTATAATAGAATCCCTGTTAGCATTAAGCAGCTTTAGAATGTTTTCCTTATATTTCTTCTTCTTGTGCCATATCCATCATCGGATGTTGGAGATCATGTTGGCGATACTATTTTGATCAACAGCCTCATGAAAAAGTGCTGCTGAGTTATGTCCAAGCCAGTCCCTTAGATTTTGAAGCCATGAAGCTCTTCTTCTGCCTGGGCCTTGTTTGCCTTCCATTTTTCCTTGGAGGATCAAGGGAAGGATGGTGTATTTTTCCCTTGTGTCGCATCACAGGTCTGAAATAGTCTAACTTCCACTTTTTAATGGTTTTGATGATTTCCCTTGGCTTTCCCGGGCGTCTTATCACCTCCTCATTTCTGATTTTATCAACCCAACTGTTCTGACCTAGGCTTCCCAAAATCACGAAGCAAGACTCCTCGTCCCAACAAAACCCCTTTTTTATTAAGCTATAATGTGAATTCCTATGATTCACATCCAGCAAAGTCCCGGCAAACAGTCTTTCAAGAGTGAGTTACAACCACAGGCCTTTATCAGGCTTGGAGAATTGCCAGGCCGATAGCTGCCAAGCGCAAGACGCTGTACAAGAAAATACTTGGCAGAGTCTCTGAGAGTACCGAACAAATCTTCACACTAATTAAACGAACTAACGGTCTCCTGCAAACATCCCTCCCCTTTAGCTCCTCTTTATTCCCTATGGGAGGGGCCATTCACCATCCACCTGTGCCAGAAGTTGTGGGTCCATCTATCTCTGGAGGTTTTTAAGAGACTGGACAGAGATTGAGCAGGGGGTTAGATTAGAAGACCTCTAAGGTCCCTTCCAACTCTGTTAATTCTATTTTTTCTACATGATATTCTAACTAGGCTGAAATTCCTTACTGGTGAGGAAATGGCCTTTGGGACATGCCCAGAGATAAATTAACCAGCAAAAGGAAGACAAGATCTACAAAGACGACAGGAAAATGCCCAGGTGCCAGCAGAAACTTGTTTCTTGTTTTCAAACAGGCACCCAGGCATTTTCCCTACTTGCTCACTTCGCTGCAATTCGAATAGCTGATCAAAAAAACACTGTATAATTGTTTCCTCGCAGGACAGTCATTTCCAGGTTCTTTTTCTCTCTTTCTCACCTGCTCCCAGAATCTTAACTGGAGAGCCGAATGATGCCATCCCCAAAAATAAAAGAGCAGGATGCGAGCCAGGGAGAAAAGTCCCATCTCTGCAAAAAGTTAAATTTGGTTTAATGCCTGCATGGTCCCAGTGCGGAGGGGGGAAAAAAATGGAACAGCGTGTCCCAGATAAGGTGCTGCTGTCACGTTGCACACAGGCCCTTTCGCCCTGCCGCGTTTTGGGGTATGTGTTGAAGCGATAAGAACGTGCAAAAGAATTTTAAAATAGTGATAGCGCTTCGACGTATAATGCCGCTTCACGGGGCTGTACAACGGCACTGAAAAAAGTTGACTTATGACTGTTTTTCAGTCTTCACGACCGTTGCAGCGTCCCCGGGGGTCATTTGTATTTACATTCGGATGCCTGGCAGCTGGCTCACATTTGTGACGCCTGCTGCATCTCGGCGTTACGTGATTTCCCCCTTTTGCAACCTTCTGACAAGCGAAGTTGAAGGGGGAAACTGGATTCGCTGAAGTGCCACGTTACTGATTTAACAACGGCAATGCTTCGCTCAAGAAACGGGGTGAGGAAAGCCGTAAAACGGGACAGATAACAGGTAATCAGAGTTGGAAGGGACCTTGGAAGTCATCTAGTCCAACCCCCCACCGAAGCAGGAGACCCTGCACCATTTTTGACAGATGGCAGTCCAGTCTCTTCTTGAAAACTTCCAATGATGAGCTCCCACAACTTCCGAAGTCAAGCTGTTCTACTGAATATAAAATACCAGAGTTGGAAGGGACCTTGTAGGTCATTTAGTCCAACCCCCTACCCAAGCAGGAGACTCTACACCATTTCTGGCAGATGGCAGTCCAGTCTCTTCTTGAAAGCTTCCAGGGATGAAGCTTCTACAACTTCTGAAGGCAACTTCTGTTCCATGGGTTGATTGTTCTGTCAATAAATTTCTCCTTATTTCCAGGTTGAATCTCTCCTTGTTCAGTTTCCATCCATTATTCCTTGTCTGGCCTTCAGGTGCTTTGGAAAATAGCTTGACCCCCCTCTCTGTGGCAGCCCCTCAAATATTGGTGGACTGCTATCATGTCTCCCCTGGTCCTTCTCTTCCCTAGACTAGCCAGGCCCAGTTCCTGCAACCGTTCATTGTATGTTTTAGCCTCCAGTCCCCTCATCATCCTGGTTGCTCTTCTCTGTACTTTTTCTCGACTCTCAACATTCCCTTAACAGATTTCTCAGTTAAGCAAGATAAAATTCCAGGCTCAACTGTGGTCCTAAGTCAAGGACTACTTATAGATGGATGTTAAAAAAAACAAAAAACAGCAGGATGTTCTTCAGCTGTTTCTTTGCCTTGTTGGGCTTCCTGGCCCTTCCCATTCCAGTATTTCACTTAACCAGCATCGCTCCTGTTGCAAAGAACTCAAACAAACAAACCAACATTCCAGAAAGAACATAACCTGATTTCTCTATTTGTCTTCCCCGAGAGGGAAAAAATCCCAATCGGTGGCTCCAAATAAAACTGCAAAACTGTGCTGCGATAAATCAAAGTGGGGAAAGGGGGGAAGTTTAATTCAAAACCAACCCGAAAACATAAAACTTTTTTTTTTTTTTTGAGTATTATAACAGATAAACAAACTACACAGTACGGAGCTGTGCACAGGGCTCCGCTCTCTTCCCACCCCTCGATATAATCTGCTGCCGGCGTTTCGCCCAATTCCAGCCCCCTTCCTATCTTTGAGAAAACAGAAATAATAACCATCTCTCTTCACCCCTCCCTGATCTTTGCCCCCAAATCGGTGACCGTTTATTTACAGAGAAGCAGATGCAAAACTTCCAGGTCTTCGGAACAGGCAGGGAAACGGAGGTCGAGAAGGGAAACTTTGTACAGGAGAAGAAGCAGCAACGGCTGGGGTAGGGGGTGTCTCCTGGAAGGTGGGTGGGTGGGCTGGATCCAGTCTTTGCTCCATGGAGAGGCTAGGTTCTTGGCGAGGGCTGACGGCGTGGGAGGAAGGCGTGCTGAGCAAAGGGTGTGTGTGTGTGTGTGTGTGTGTGTGAAGGGATCTGGATGGACGTGGGAAGGGGTTACGGTGTGCTACCAAAGTCAAGACGGGCTTTGGGATAAAGTGGGCCTTACGGGAGCCCGGGGAAAAGGAACTCGCCTCCTCAAGCTTCTGTGATGGGAAACATCTTCCATCGTGTCCAGATCGAAGGCCGAGGTCTCCTTGTTGCCCGGAAGGAAAACCACGGCAGCCACGGAGCTACCCCACCCTCCTGCCTGCCAGAGGAGGGAAGGGGAGCCGACCCCAACTCAGCCGAGCTGGGCGGACGAAGGCGGCGAGAAAGGGGGAGAGGCTAAGGCATGGGGGTGGCCCAGCGGGCAGCCTGGCACGGTCCAGAGGGTGGGGAGTCCTTCTTCGTTGCTGTAGTAGCTGGAGGTTCCCGAGGAGCCCTCCCATCCTTCGGAGGTCAGTAATCTTCCACCCAGCCGTTTTCGGAGATGAAGGCATCGATCACCTCTTTCATGGCCAGGTTGGGGATCAGCTGGTCCTGGGTCAGCGGGCTTCGAGTCACAGGGTCGAAGTGGCCGACCCGCTAGGGAGGACAGAGAAAAGGCAGTTGTGAGGGGGGGAGGACAGGAAGATTATGTTCAGGCCAGAGGTAGCCTGAAAAACCACAGCAAGGCCGGGAAGAGACCCGCGCAATATTCCACTGAATGTTTCAAGGGGATGAAACATGCTGGCTGGGGAATTCTGGGAGGTGAAGTCCATACATCTTAGAATTCCTAAGTTGAGATTCCCTTTTCTAAACCCAGGTGAGATCAGTAAATCGATGGGATTTCAATTTTCCACTGAAAAATGGAAAAACTCCTTAGGAACAGAAAGCCTCAAACCATTTGCGTCACTCAGTCCACCCCCTGCAGCCTCCAACCCTCTTCCTT